AATATGAAGACAAAGATTAAATCAGCGATACAACGTTGACATGCGTTCAGTTCCTGAAAAGTCTTTCTAAAAAAGTCTCCTCAGGAGCAGTTTTGCCACCACCTGGGAGGATCTCAAAAATCCACATTTAGGGAGCTGGAAGGGAGTGTGGGGGGGCAGGCATGTGAAGTCCTGGGCTTGGGCCAAGAACTTCTGCTGCTGATAAAGAAAGGCAGGAGCCTCTTGGCGGGCAGGCCAGCAGATTGCTAACTCGAGACTGCACCCCCCTCCCCAGGGCGCAACCCCAGACGCATCCTGCCCGGGCAGGCCTCTCCCTAGCTGCGCACCCGGCTGGGGCACCTCCACTTAATGCGGCAGACGCCTTTCCCAGACGGCGGCCCAGAGGTCCCACTGGCAATAGGACCCTACCAGTTGTAGTCTCTGGGTAGTGACAGCTGGGAGTTTCTAATATATCTATTTTTTTTTTCTTCTCAAAGAAAAAAAAAAAAAGCACAAAAACCACTGTTTAGGGCCAAGCCTGGTTTTCAAGAGCCCCCTCTAGTGGAGATAACCTGCTACTTCAGCATCCCCCTGCAGCCCAGATGGAGCCTCCCCTTGCCTGGGAAGACCGAGCAGAGCTCCCTTCTGCCTAGACTGTTCTTTCCCACTTGTTTTCTGTGTTTGCTCTCAGCTCTTTGTGCCCCGTTCACACTGTCAGTCTCTCTGTCCTTATCTTCCTTCCCCGTCACCCTGCTTCTCTGTGTGTCTGCGACTGTTCCTACATCTGGACTCGGGCTTTCCACGTGTGCCTTTGCCTTGCATCTTGTCAGTCTGCATGCTTGGTTCATCGGCTGGCTTTTTTTTTTTTTTTTTTTTCCTTCTGAAGTTCAAGACGCCAGGTCTGATGAACTGGAAATGCTCTGACATGGCCTTGGATCAAATGACCCACTCTCAGAGAGCCCGAACAGGGACCCGCCAGCCAGATCACAGAAGCACCAGGACAACCCAGTGTTCCTGGAGGAGAAGGAAACTTGCACAGAAACTCTCCCCTACTCCATGCCCCAAGCAAACCTGGGCCCTGTGGGTTGATACATATGTTTGGAACATTATTGAACCTGAGCTTGGCGCTCCGGCTTTGGGGTCTTGAGTGGAACCAGCCTGCTCCCCTCTATCACTTCTCCCCACCAGCCCCCCTACTTCCTGGTCGCTGAGAGGCATGCTGCCATGAAACAGTAGGCAATGCCTGGGTGAAGGGACAGGGGGTGGGAAGAGGGTGCCCCTGCCAGGGAAGGGGAGGGGGGGTGGGGGCTAGGACTGAGCCTCTGGCTGGAGCAAGGAGGGGAGATGGCGCACATGTTCTGCTGAGCCAGAGGGGGCTGCAGGGAACACTGCTGGGCTTCTGGGTTTCTGAGACTGATCTTTTCCCCCAAGCGGGAGACCTGGCCAAGGCAGGGCAGGGGGTTAATGGTTAACCAACTGTAGGAGCCGGGAACTTCTGCACTGCTCAGGCCTAAGCTTTCTCTTTCAACTCTCACCCTCCCCTCCTCCTCTTCCTTTACACTCTTGCCCAGTAGGGACCCCGCTCCCCGACAAAGAACTTTCTCGCCTCTATTTCTGCCCTCGAATTCCAGATGGAACAGTGTGGAGCTAGATAAAGAGGTTCCATATGCCCCAGTGCCAGGGAGTGGGGCCCCGGAGAGCCTGAGGGCTAAGCCGAGGAGAAAAGGGGTGTCCCGTTCTTACCAACCGTCCCTCCCAGGGCGCCTTGGGACCAGCCGTTTGACCCCGCGAAGAACTGCCTTTCTCTGTCTCTGCAGGGCTCACCTTTAGAAATGACCAAAAAAGAAGTGGATGCACACCCAGCCTTCATTTACTCTAATCAGGCATGAAATCTTTGTAACTAAGTGAAAAAACTGTTCCATTCATCATTGTTGGAGCTGAGCATATGTGGAGGGGAGAAAGAGATATTATATTCACATATAATGAATTGATAGCAGACTGCCCCTGGGTGAGGGTGGTGGCGATGGGGCTGGGGGTGCAGACGAGCAGGAAAGCAACAGCACCTCCAAGCCTGTTGCCACCAGTTTCTCTGTGGACAGTCCTGAATTATTTGTAGCTAACAGACTGTAACACAATGCTCTGGGCTCTTTACAATCAAGAATGGGGGGTGGGGTGGGGGTAGGGGCTCTGGCTGGGCTTGGAGCTCCTTACCTCTCCATTTGCCACGATGGACAGAAGTATATGGGGCCCCAGTTTGTGTGTGTGGAGACAGCTGTGTGGCAATGTGGAGAGACAGCTGGGGGGTTGGGGGGCGGCTGTTGCTGCCGGGGACAGGAACCACCTCCCCCCACAACAAACCTCGTATCTTGGGGCGGCAGCTGCAGGAAAGGAGGCAGGATAGAGACTATAAACCCCCAAACAGTGAGAAATCAGCACCGTAAATATTCCACAGCACCTGAACGGGTGCGTTTCCACTGCTGCCGGCTGGTGCCTTGTATACTTAACTGTGGCCCTCCTTGCCCCTCCTGCACCTGTGCTTTCCGGTATCTTACCCATGAAATAAAGATTAACGGAATCATCAGAAGTATTCACAAATGGGAAAGGGGCCTAGTGGAGAAGTAGCTGTTCTTGGAGGGTTTTCTTGTTCACCTCATTTTAAGCACAGACTTCAGCATACCAGATGGGGAACTTACACATTTACTACACCTGCAGCTTTTGATGGTCAAGCATGTTGGGGAGGGTGAATGCTCCCCAGCTCTTTGGGGACAGGGATAGGTACTTAGGCCAGCTCTGAAAGGGGAGTCACCGACCTCATACCGACATGGTTTCTTTTGGGGGATGGACGTGCAACATCACCGTTTGCTCTTCATTTGGACTTGGGTTGAAAGGCCAACCAGCCCCTCTGCCCTGCTCCAGACTGTGGGGTACCCCAATCCTCCTGTTCTGTTAAAGAGAAGGGCCCGGGGGGGGGATTCTCCTGCCAGACTCATGACCCCTGGGCAGAGGAGACCTTCTGGTACTTTACTTTACCCCTTTGGATCCTGCTGATCCTTAGCAGCATCCCCACTGCACATCACTCCAGATGTCATTTCCATTTAACTGCTTTGCAAGCCAATTTGCCCCGTTCTAATGCAATTTGCTGAGGATGGTGAGGGAGCAGAGAGGGCAGCCTGCAGTGCTCTCCCTTTATCAGCGGGTCCCCGAAGAGGGAAAGGCTCTTTCAGGTAATGCAGGGAGGGCAAGTTCTGGGATGAGGAAGGGTCGGGCAAAAGGCGGAAATGCCAGGTGGAAGAATGGAAAAGAAAAACCACCTCGCTAGAATATCTTGACAGATCTCTCTCAGTTTCCTAGGTTCCCTACCCTCTCCCCTCACTCCACACTGGCCCCCCATCACCACCCCCTAGGGACAGCTCACAGGTAATTATTTCAAATGGTGCTGTGTGAGGTGAGGGGGAAGTTAATGAATGCTCCTCTCTTGTAGGGAGGTCAGAGGAGAGAGGGCTGCTAGCAACTCCAGGAGCTTTCTGGGGTGATTGCACAAAACTTGTGCATTTCAATTAGGAAGAGCAGAATTCCTCCAGCCAGAGCCATCTCTTCTAGGGCTCTGTCGCTCTGTTGAAGGCCCCAGAATCCAAAGCCTGCCCAGAGGGAAGAATGAAGTTTCAAGGTCTGGGAAAGAAGCCCAGCAAGACAGGAGCCTGCTTCTATGTTGGGGAGGGGAGGGCTGAACTTGACTCCTCGTCTTAAAACGACCAGCCCAGCCCAGATACCCATCTTAACTGCTCACAAACCTTGTCCACTATGCTTGTGAATAGCAGGAAGGGAATGAATGGATCCCCACATCTGTGTGGGTTCCTCTGAGCTGCTAGAGCCCCAAACCACTGCCACAAGCTACAGCTGGTACCCCCCCCCAACTGGTCCGGTCCCTATGTCCCTTTCATAGACACTTCTGGTATGCGACTGTCACCCTAGGATCTTACATTCCTACAGGAGACCTGATCAGATTCCATGGCCCATTTCATGGGGCTGTCATTCCTAGACTCTTAACGGACCTAGCACTCCAAGTCTTTTACCCACCTCACCCCCCATCATCTCTCACTCAGAGCTGAGTTTGAGCAAGCAGCTCCTCCTAGGGCAAGGGTCATGCCGAACAGGTGGACATTTGTCACGGACCTGGAATGGCAGTTTCCGGTGACTCTCTTTGCTCATCCAGACCAAGATTAATATTTACAGAGACTACCTGTGGGATGGATAAAAAGAGCTAGAATGTTCTAAGATCCCTCCATCACTTGTGGGGTGGGCAAGAAGGAACACATGGAGGGAAATATTTTCGAATGGTTTATAAGGAGCTTTTCGGACCCTGGGCCATCTCCTGCTTCAGCCCCCAACCCTCTCGTGCTGCTCAAACCAGAGGATGGTGCTGATGGGTGCTTGACCACGAGGGAGCACAGAGAGGGTCATGGAGCACTTAGCCCCACTCAGTGCCTTGGACTCGCTCCCTGAGCCTCACAGACCCCGCGCAGATGATGCATTCCCCTTCCATTCCCAAGTCCCCTGATCCAAAGGAACGACCAGCGGCCGCCAGGGACTCAGGCACCAGAGTGAACGCCCCCAAATCCAGCGCTGGCCACAGTGGCCTCGGGCTCCCTTGCTCGTGCCAGCGAGGCCCGCTTTGGGCGCCAGCTATCGGGACGGCCCCGCCGCCTCCGTGCTCCCCAAAGCCGCAGAGTGCCAGCAGGTGCGCGGCAGAGACGCGCCGCGGAGCGCCCTCCCCGCCAGGAGCCGGCGGCCGGCGGGGAAGCCCCGGGCGGGAGGCGGCGGCTCT